TTGCTTAAAAATTTACAAACTCATATACGTGTGTTTATATGCATTTGTCGCAAATATAGACCGATATCGGGCCACTATAACATATAGCTGCAATACAAACTAAACGATCGGAATTAAGTCCTTGTATGGAAAACTTTTTCATTTGAAGAGATATATTTACGAAATTTGGCACAGATTGCCTAAGCTAGAGCTGACTACAGATCGGACTACTATAACGTATAGCTGTCATACAAGCTGAAAAATGCACCTGTGAAGGGTATTGCAGCTTCAGCGCAGCCGAAGTTAACGTTTTTTTCTTGTTGTCAATACAGTTGCTATATTCGGTTTCTGTCACTCACTGTTGTTGTTTCGTGCAGACTACCGTAATTTTATATTACTGAGAGTATAATTTCAAGCGTTACAACATCTAAGGTGGTGGGTAGCTTTTGCACTGCTTCATTATTCTCGTCAATATTTTTCCTTTTGACTTCCCTTCCATTTCCAACTTTCCACTTTAATGTCAATGTACTCATAGCCACCGTGTTTTTTTTTTTATTTTTTGGCTTCCTTACATTCGCATGCTATAAATATGCTTGTCATTTATGTTCTTTACCTATCCATGCATGTATTGGTATAAGTCATTATAGGTGCATTCAAGCATGTCTGCATAGGGTCCGTATCGAAGTATCTATTTCTGGAAATTCGTAATAACGTTTTCTTTTGTGTGTCGTGAATAACCAGCCAAAGCGTTAATCAATAAACAGTTATGTGATTTCGAAGTCACGTTCGTGCTTGCGAGGCATAATTAATGCTCCCTCTACTCAAACTACTTAATCCAAGAAGAGACAGGCAGGAGAGGTAAGGTTAATTAAGACTTTATTTGATAAGTTTATGAATATAAAATACTCGTGCTTATATTGCCTTCACAGCTTGTACATGGGATTTATTATCACGGATTTGTTTGCAATAAATGCTCAAGTCTTCCAAGAAGAGGCGGGGTGAATCTTCGTACAGTTGGAATATTGTAACATAAGTGTTAGTGGTATGGAAGAGAAATAGTAGATACATCTTTCATTTAAATTTGACATAAAAGAAATAAACGAATAATCTGTATCCTAATTTAGCTTTCACTCTAGGTCCATTAAAAGAACAATATGGATTCAATTATATATATTATATATATATTATATTCGTTTATTATATTCGTTCAAAGTCTGCGGTGACAGGGAATGACGAAGAGATGAAGTAACTTTCGAGGTAATATTTTATGGTTTTTTGGAACAACAGGGTGTCACTTACTTAAAAAGAGACCCTAAAGAACCGACATGTTTATTTGTAAATACGAAGTCGTACTTCTTCAACTTACTGACAACAACAACAACAACAAACTTTATTATGGAATATATAGAGTCAAAACTTGATTATTTTCAATGTTAGGCCAAATAAGTTTTGAATAATTAAATTTAATAAAAAATATCTTATATATGACAAACCATGACAGTGTTATTAGTCCGCTCAAATTAGACATTCACGGTTACTTAATTTTACAACAACCTAAAAGTTGGTGTATATGATCAAAACATGATTAAAAATAACCTACTAAAAGTCCCCATCGATCCCATATGTCAAAACATTTGTGTTTCCGCAAAAAAGTATTCATTTATTTTATACCCTGAACATGATATATTAAGTTTTCCACGAAGTTTGTAACACCTAGAAGGAAACGTCGGAGACCCTATAAAATATATACATAAATGATCAGCATGATGAGCTGAGTTGATTTAGCCATGTCCGTCTGTTCGTCTGTCTGTACATATACAAATTAGTCCCTCAGTTTTTAAGCTATCGATCTGAAATGGAAAGAGCCTTGTATTTGTGAAGGCTATTATAGCTATTAGAAGGCTATTAACGCTTTTTCTTGTTTATAGATAGTTTTATGATCTACAATTTTTGTCTAAGGTAATTTTTTTGTTGAAAATAGCGAAAAAAAAGTGTTAGACCTGTGACTTTGAGCATTTTTTATTCACATATCGGAACGATAAGGACTTTTCGTATGTAATTTTTAATCATGTTTTGAACATGTTCACTAACTTTAAGTTTGTTGTAAATTTATATAACTTCACACTTATTTTCTGTCTTATTTGATCGGGCTATATACATATAAATTCTAGATTCTGAATTCAAACAATTTTTGTGGTCAAATTATGTCAATTACTAACTCGAAATATTTTTGCAATATTAACTCAACATAGTGCACTTCAATTCTAATTCTGCAAGATAATAAAAAAGTTAAACTTTTATTGTTCGAAGTACCAGTAAAACTCGAATTATCTCAACTCGATTATCGATCAAAAACCTGAATATTTTTTATTAAATCTAGATTGATGTGTTTGTGTTTGTAAAACCTCGTAGACGTACTTCTTAGCCAGAAGTTGATATTATAATAGATTATGCCGTTATCTAAAAAAGCCGTTTCTAGTTCAATGATACTCCAGCAAGAAAGCAATTCACATTTTTTGATTACTTTTGCGCTCATTTCTTCGTACTCATGCTTTCAGCATTTTTGCCGTTGGCTTTTTCCGCACTTTTACCATACGCTTCATTCTTTATTCACTTAATTTATTAGATATACTTTTATAAAATTTATTTACCCGACGCTTATTGCCCGCCATCCACATTCCATTGACTAGCATTTTAAATATTTATCAGCCACTATGCAATCACTTACTCATGCTTTCAAGCACGCCAGCAGTGCGATGGCAGCAGAGTGAGGCGCGATAGCGTGCGGCGCACATCAACAATGGCAGCGAGTAAGTTGCGAGCATAGTACACACACATACGTACGAGCATATGTATGTAGTTGTTACCAGCATCGAAAGTAACTGCACTCAGCTAATGCTAGTTTGCTTAGTTAGGGCTTCTATTATCCTACCACAACATCGCTCGTTTACAAACCCGCATACACACATACATATCTATATGCATATGTATGCGTTTGTGTGCCGTTTCATTTTTACCGCGTTTTCGTATTTTCGCATACGCTGTTGCCGTTACGTATCCGCCACGTCGTACCACAGCCGCCTTATTGCCTTCTGCACGCTTTCTGCGTTTATGTGTGTATTTGTGTATTTGTATCTGTGCATGACTGCGCATTTGTCTAAGTTTTGTTTTACAGCATTTTTGCACCTTTCACCTAATGACGTTTTGCTGCTTCCCTACTTCCTCTGCTGCTTGTCTGGCGTTAACTGCTCTGCTCTGCTTTCGGTCTGCTTTTAAACTCATACTTTCTTACTGGTGTTTATTATATCTCTGCTTTGATTCATTTTCTGCTATTCGCCTCTTATAGCGCCATCCTTCACTTGTTAACCTTATTCAGCCGCCTTCCTTTCGCCTGCCCTTCAGCCAAACATTGATTCAACTTTATCTGTTCTCTTCACTTTTCACCTTCCTTTCGCCTGCCCTTCCGTCAAACATTGGTTCAACTTTATCTGTTCTTTTCCCTTTTACCTTTCCTGCCACAATCAAAATCACGCCGCGCCCTCTCTCTCACTCATCTTGTATTTTTGCGCTGCCATCACCTGTTTCCACCTTCCGACCTTTCGCATTCTTCCTTTACCATCCCTCCTCCCGTTGGTTCACTCCTTGGCTCGGGCGCTTATTTACTTTTGCTGCTGTGTGAATTTCTAATTTTCTTTTGTAATTAGCTAATTAACTAATTAATGAAGTTTGTGTTTGAATTGTTTGCGCTGCACATGAAAAAACACGAAAATAAAAAGAACTCAAAGCAGATTTGCAAATTGAGTGCCGCCATTTATTTGCCCCCCACCGCGCGGTCGCATTCCCCTAAGTTCGTCGCATTTTACAACTTTTTGGCATAAACGACTGCTGATTTACTTGTTGTCTGTCTGCGCTTGCTTATACATATATGTTTGTTGCTTTCATTGACTCCGGCTCGGCATTTGTTGTTGTTAAATTGCTTTATCTGCCAAGCTAATTAAATGCAGCAAACAAAGCAGACAGACTCACAAATGTAAAAACCTGCAGAATGAGCGGTTATTTTGCGCTGTTGCCTGCTCTCTTTCGCTGTTGTTGCTATTTTTTCCGCCTTTTGTATTTACACTCTACAACAACAATTGTTGCAAATCAGACACTGTATAAATTTACTACACAAATCACTCATTCACAACAAGCCCAACACACACATACACACACCTCCCCAAACGCACAAACACACACACGTACACACGTAGACATTAGTCCACATGTGTGCTCGTATGTACTCACTAACGGTTGCTACGCGACGCGCCACTAGCCCATACACTCGTAAAACAACAAAAGCGCAATGATAAACCGCACAACTACAACAACTCAACGGTGAATGCAACAAATAGTAGCGTTACATCGTTACACTCGTGCACGGCACACTGCTACCGACGGCACACTAACAGTACAGTCCGTTATCGTCGCGCTTCATGCGGCATTCGCAAGCGCAACTACCACAGTATGTCCAAAAACAAAGCCGCACCAACAGTTACTGTCAGTGGAAGTCGTCGCTGGCGCCGTGTAAGGCCACTGAAATGCCTCAGAGCTGCTTGGCTCGGCTGCCAAGTTGAACAGAGCCGAACTGGACATGTAAAGCAAGCAGGAGCAATGTAAAACTAGAAGAAACAGACTGTAGCGCAGAATGTTGTCCAACACAAGCGTACAGACGCCACAACAATCTCACCGACAGCGACTATACAAGGGCAACATACGAAAGGCAATTTGTGCAACAACAATAGAGCCGATGTGATAAACACGAAAGCAACAGCGCCGACGGAAGGACGAAGCCAAGGAAGGACGTGGCCGTCGCAGCAGCGTTGACTGAAGCGAAAGGAGTAGGATTACAGTTCACGATGTTAACAGTGTGTTACAATTACATACATCGTCATAGAGTTACAGGCACTGACGAATTGTGGCATGAGCTAATTTTCAAAGAGTAGAGGAGAGTAAGCGTTATAGTTTTAATTTTTACTTTTCACGAGTTTTAATAATAATAAGCAGGTTATTTATTGTATTTTATTAGGCAAACATGATAACAGAGAGAAATTCGTACAGATTTTGAAGTATTTAAAATCTTTGTTTACTCTGAGACACCCAAAATAACTAGTAGCTAGTACAAAAACATTCATTCAACCTAATGTTTCACTACCGGTCCACATCTATTAGCTCTTCATGACTATTTCGGAGCACATTCACTTGGAAATTCATTTCTTTGATGTATGTTTCGCCCCTCATACATTGGAATGGCTTTATGGCTCGAAAGTAGAAAGTAGTAGTAGTAGTATGATAAGATTAAAAACTTATCCGGATGTCGGTCGAGTTGAGAGATTTCTACGTTTAAAAAGTGACTACGCTATTATTACTCCAGCACAATTCATTCATTCTCTGATTTTCGAATGCCATTACAAAGATTTCATCAATGATTTGTGGTTTGGTTTCCAGAATAATCTAAAATATTAAATAATATTTTGACATAATTGGATTTAAAACTTCCAAATTTTACGGTTAATCGTCGTAAACTGCGAGTTTTGTTCTTAAAAGTATCGGATGGTTTAGTTTTGCAATTTTGCCTTCGTTTCTTTTCTGGGATCCAGATGAGTCTTTGTGTCATATTGGTTAGTTACATCCACTTTTAGAGTGTCAACCGGTTATTGCCAGTGACCTCAAAGGAAAAATTGTTAGATTTTAGTAACAACACCACGACATTCCGAAAAAATGTAGGCGCAGGTAAGAACAAAGTTCCTTTTGTGATCTTAATTGATCGTTTTAGGATAAATGATTAGCATTTGGGTGTTAATGATTATAATCCTGTCGCACACTACATTTCGTATTACCCATTTTGATTCTCAATCTTGATCAACGGATAATATATCCAGAAGTTTCACTCGAATATATAAAGAACAATCCAAAAGTGCAAACAGGTAGTTCATTTACGAAGCTAATAGTCTCAATTTCCATTTTCGGTGCATTGTACATTTAATCAATTGTGTAATTCATGTAATTTATATGTTATTGTATTTCAAAATCTCTATATTTGACGTAAATTTGCCACTTTATTTACGCTTTATCTAAAAAACGCGCTGCTCGACGCTTTTATTTAGGGATGGCAGTAAGTCAGTTATGTATGCTCAACTTACGTTTCGGACAGAAAATCAAACACACTGTGTTGCGCGCCATCTATCAGGGAAATAAAAAGTATTGCCCGCTATTTCACTTCCAAAAGGGAAGCAACACTTTTTTTAGACTAAATTTTGATGTTTCACTATTCCTTTGTTCTGTTTTCATTCGCAGTTTCGTAAAATTTGTAAACAAAAGCCAAAAAGTGTGAATTTCGTGGAGAAGTAAGGAAAAAAATTTTACAAAAATTAAACGAAAGGGCGTTAAACCGCAATTAAAAAATTATAAAGAAAATTTTCGAAGTGCAAAAGAATCAAAAGAACATTTGTGCGATAAAGTGTAAAGTAAAAAATAGCTGCTGAGGCCGAACTGACTTCGACAAATTTTAGCTTTACATTTTTAGTTAAACATAAAGGATAAAACGAGAAATTTTCTAACAATAACAACAAATGCCAAATCAGGTTTCACTGTGCATCATAAAGATCGAAATTGACCCACAGCTGAGTGAGGATTTTGGTGCGTAGTATATAAAAACATTAGAGAGAATATAAGTAATTGTTGACTTACAGAACCCGGAGCCACATCTGCTGAACATCCCACTAATCCGCGCATGCTAAAAGAGCGAGAGCGTGATCGTGGTCTGCGACAAGCCAACCAGATTGTAATTGAAACTTACACTAATCGTTTGTTGGGAGACGTGGACGAATTACAGCTGGCAGCAGCAGAAACGCATCAACAGGCAGCAAGTGGAGGTGAAGCTTCTGCACCGATTGATATGAGTGGGGAACGTAAAAGGGATTTGCGCTCAACAGCTAGTGGTTCGCGTGAAGCTACACCGCTTGAAGAAGGACAAGTTGCACCAGAATTTCCCAAAGAAATAGGATTCTTCTCCGGTAATCCAGAAGTTACCAATGGCATTGTGCATTTATACAAGAAAAAGTAAGTCGTACTGCAATTAGATAAACACTTATTTGTTAACCTACTTGGCTCATCAATATAATATCCTAGTGAGCGTAAGGAATTAAAAGAGGGGCCATCCGATAAGTTGTGCTTGCTCGCGGTGCCTGCCAGTGTAAGCTGTCATGACTTAATGGGCTTTGTAGCGCCCTGTCAGTCGACGATTCGACACATACGCATTGTACGCGACGGCAGCCCCAACCAATTTATGGTGATACTCGAGTAATTAAAAGGAACATCGAAACTGTGCTTTGAACTCCATTTTAATTACTATATATTTCACAGATTTCGTTCGAATGCTGCCGCCTTAGAGTTTTACCAGTCATACAATGGCGCCGCTTATAATTTGCTGGAGCCCGACTCTCTATGTCATGCCGTATGGGTATCGGCAATTGAACGCGGTGGAGATGGTGTGACACCAACTGGTCACACTGAGCTGCCCAATTGTCCAGGTATATTAACAGTATAACTGTTTAACTTATAAGTATTATTAATTTAATTAAAATTAAATACAGTTTGCTTGGAGCGTATGGACGAGAGCGTTGATGGCGTATTGACTATACTATGTAATCATGCCTTTCATGCCAACTGCCTTATCAAATGGGGTGATTCCACATGTCCTGTCTGCAGGCATGTGCAGACCCCCGAGTTGCTTGAGAACTCTGTTTGCATGGAGTGTGAGGGCACAGATTCCCTATGGATTTGTCTAATTTGCGGTCATGTCGGCTGTGGGCGCTACCAAGGTGGACACGCTGCGGCACATTATCGCGCCACGAATCACACTTTTGCCATGCAGTTGGGCACATCGAGTGTCTGGGACTATGCTGGGGACAATTTCGTACATCGTCTTTTCCAAAACAAGACTGATGGCAAACTGGTAGCTACTGCTAACGACGAAGGCGAAGAAAAGATCGATTCAATGCAACTAGAATTCACATATTTGCTCACCTCGCAACTGGATACGCAGCGCAAATATTATGAAGATCGCTTAGATCGCCTGGAAATGGAGTGGCGGGACTTCAAAGCCAGCGCTGACAACGATAGCAGCAAAGTGAGCGCGTTAGAGCAGAAAGTGCAAACACTGACCAAGGAAAAACAGATATTAGAGCGCAAGTTGACACAAAATGCTACAAAGTAATAGCCACAATGACATACATATTTAAAATGAACTCTCACACATATTTTATTATTTTATTATAGGTTGAAGGACATGCAAAAGCAGCTCGCCGAGGAGCGTGAGTTCTCCAAAACGTTGCAGAGCAATCATAGCTCTTGGCAAACCAAATATGCAACACTCGAAAAACAATATAAAGAATACAAGGAGGCGCGAGAAGCTGAGCTGAATGATGTCAAGGAGCAACTGCGCGACATTATGTTTTATATGCAGGCACAGAGCAAAATCGCCGATTCCGAGTTGAAGGATGAGATTGTTGGTGGCACGGTAGTGATGCCTGAAGCAGAAGCAAGCACTTCCACTGGAAAAGCCGCCAGACGAAAGAAGAAGCATTAATTTGTAAAACTAAATTAGGCTTTCCTTATGTTTTTTTGGAGACTATAAAGAACTTTCATCATAACTTAAAAGCATACAGACGTAAAGTTAATGCTATTTTTAGGATGTAAGCATTTAAGAAATAAAACATTATAATATGAATGCTAATAAATAGCTTTATACAAACATATATACAAACATACTTTTACATAAAAATGAGAAATAAATGTTTACATATCGCTTCACAAAGAATTGCACTTTTCTTCAACTAACGGTTGTTTATAAAACCTCCAAAAAAAAATAGCAATATATATATATTCTATGAAAAAGGCTTCTCAAATCAAAAAGATTTGAAATTGTGTAAACAATAAAACTGGAAACTTTAAAAACTTTTAAAAGCGTTTTTGATAAAAGAAATTCGGCTGGGGAGACACTACGCAGTTGTACCTGACAATTCATACGCATAATCATATGTAAAAAAATATTACTTATTAGATAGTTTGTATATAAAGGCATTTCACTAAAATCATTCCCGGGCCCCGGCTTGCTCTCTATGGCCCTGATTATGAGGAATCTGAGTATACAAGTACATTGAAAGAGTTGTGGACTATGATTACTGACTAATAAATATTAAGTTACTTAAAAATACTTACGAAATTCTAAATTTTATACTAATTAGGTTGCTAGAAAGGAAGTGATAACAAAGAAAGGAAAGCTGGCAGATAGATCATAGGTAAATAATTTAACTTCTTCAATTATATAAAATAGAAATTTTCACGCACCTTGACTTTTTAGCACATAACAGAGATCCACTCGTTGGCCATTAAGAAATTGAAACCCTAGGCTTGATACCTGCTTACTTTCTTTTACAGAAACAAAACAAACCAGATAACGGTACCAATTTATTTGTATTGCACAAATTCAGGGGTAAATTTATTTTTATAAGTAATTATATTGAAGAAATTTTAAACGGCTCCATTGTAAATGAAAACGACATTTGTAAACGCGTATTTTCAACAACATCAATTCGTTCTGGATATCCCAGTTCATAATAGTCGATCCCTTCTTATCGGATAGCGATGAAATGCAAGTCATGAATTGGGGAAGGGCTTGATCAAAAATAAGACCAACCACATTCTCGATCATTACTTTCTGAATAGACGATACCGAATAGCTAATTGTTTTCCTCAAACATATAAAGGGTCTTTTTTTAGAAATTTTTGGTCTAGAAGAAATTAAACGCATATATTACAATGTTATGACCAAGAATTTAGCTTTAGCATAAAGGCAAGGGTTTGCCATTATGTTTTAAAAATGATTTTGAGCAAGCGCAGCGACTGGCTCAAATAAAGTCCAGCCAAGAGGCCTAATTTTCGACCACTTTTAGCAGCAATTCTGATCGTATGTCAGCAATAACGCGCCGAATATTCTCTTCCAAGGTGCCAATCGTCTCGGGCTTATCTTAGTAGACAAGCGACTTCACATAACCCCACACAAAATAGTTCAGCGGTATTAAATCGCAGGTCTTGCAGGCCACGACGTGAAATAATGCGCTTAACAAAAGTTTACTTCAATAAATTGATTGTTTTGATGGTTGTATGGCATGTTGCTCTGACTTGTTGGAACCAATTTAATTATTAATCATGGCTCTATAACTTTGCCATGGCTCTATAACAGCACACCAAACAGTTACCTTTTTAGGATGTAACGGCGTCTCGACAATGTTTTGTAGATTACCATCGCTCCAAATTATTATTAAGCAACCCATTCAACCAAAAGTGAGTTTCATCGCTGAACAAAATTTCATTTTTTTAAACCATTTTTTTTTTTTTGGTAATAAATTTGTACAATTTTCAAACGTTTTTTCGGAGTAAATCTGATAATTATGAAATGGCAAACCAAACTGGGTATAAATCAAGTAACAGCTCCTAAAAAGACCAAATCCGAAATAGGAATTGACTCATTGGAATTAGACTTTCATAGGAATTAGACTTAATCTAGTAGATGCCAAGTTAATAAAAGTACAAGTAAGTTGTCATTACGCCGTTCAAGAAGAGGGAAACGTAGAATATCTTCAAACAGGTTTAACTCAAAGGCTTTGCTAAAATATTTCTTAATTTCTCTTATTATTTAAATCTTTAATTAACCATTCGACAAAGCTTTAAAACCGGTACTCTAATAAATACTCCTCAAAGGCCATCATTCATTCTACAATCTGCCGTCCCATCAGAGTCGAATAATGTGCACACACACTCACATGACTTTTTAAAATGCAAAATAGACAAAGCGTGTGCAATCGTTTTACTTCGAATCTAACAAACACACACACACACACGCATACAAACATTTTCGCCAATCATTGTTTAGTCAGTATTCTAAGTTCTAAATTTTGCTTGGCTGACCTTGACCCATGCGAATGAAATAAAAATTATTTACGAGTGTATACATACGTAGATATATTTACGTGTATATTGGCAGTAATAAATACAGGAAAATATAAATATGCATACACATAAAAATATAAAAGTTTTTGAAAGCCAAAGTGCACACACAATAATAATAATATAATACATTCACATACATACGAGTACATACATATGTATACGTAGATATCGGCAACTACAACAATATGACTAATTTCAGAGTTTGTTGATAGCTTTAGTTATGTATAATTAAACATTTTAAACATACACAAAATTTATGATAAAATGCTTGCTCATACAGTGGCAGTCATACACACAGTCACATAGCCAAACACATACAATTAAGTGCTGTACATTCACATTAGTGTGTAGCAAGCTGAAAAGCGTAAAAGTCTATGAAAAATACGACATTTGGCAAAAAGACACAATTCCTTTTCTCACATTAATTGCCTTTGGCCGCTTCAAATCTTCAAACACTGAGACATGGCTTAGAAGAACGCAGAAGCAACACCAACAAATAAAATAATATGCCATAATAATAATTATAATAAAGCGCAGCCCTCGTGCAAAAAAAAAAATAAAAATAAAACAAAAAGCAACAAAAATTAAAGAACACCAAATTTGACGTGCGGAACCGGTTTTACCACATGTTCCCTTCCAGCGCTTGACTGCTGTGTGCGGTGATTGTGCTGATTAGTTACTTGTGCTGTCGTCGTTGATGCCGGGTGGAGCTGAGCGGCTGGCGGCGGGCGGCGAACAGTGTCTCACAACAACTGGAGAACTGCTATTTATTTTGGGAATAAATCGCAATTTGGATCTCTATCGAAATTTAACTGATCAATCCACCTTCTTAGCAAGGTTTGTTCCTGCTGACGTCTGCTTTAGAATAACTTATAATTTTGAAAAGTTTTGCTTTAGAATAACTTATAATTTTGAAAAGTTTTGCTTTTTTGAAAGAATGCTAAAGGGGTAGAAGGGTCCAGCCTAACAGTTTGAAAGAACGTCATCATTTCTCGTGTAAAGTTTGTTGCAACCAAAATAGATTCTTGATATACAATACATATACAAAACTATTTTTGCGTCCGCAAGAACACCGACGTGGTCGATTACTGGCTTTAACATGGTCTCCAACTAATCAAATTTCAATTGTTATACTAGTAGCAAAATATCTGAATCTTTTGCAAAAACGACGTGTGGTAGAGGTCGCAAAAGAGATCCTTTACAACCCAAATTAGAACCCTACATACGTGGGTTTATGAATATTTTCAACAATGGAAATGCTCCAAAAATGCTTCTAAGCCGAAAAAATCAAAATTGATTGCTAATGTGAAGGCCAAGGCCGAGGTTTATAATAAGTGTATGGAAAATTGTATTAATCGTTGGCATGCTTGCATTGACTCAGCAGCCTATTTTGAATCCTCGACTCGATTCAATCTTGTTAATATTCCCATAACAATTTGCACCACTACGTCTAAATTATACTGTATATCAGTTATCTCATTTGCGGAGGCGATAATAAGCCAAACAACGTTACAGAAATAAAAATAAAATTGAGAGACCGCAAAAGCACAGGAAATACGCAACAAAAAGCCAACGCAAATTTGAAATTGAATTTTTATTTTGCAACTACAATTTTGGTAATTAATCATTTTTTCGTAAAACATGTTGTCCAACGTGTATTAGGTTAAGTGGATATACATATTACATATATAAATATTCTTTAACTATGAGTTTAAATATAGAATAAAGGTTTCTCAAATATGAATACAAAATTAAAATGAAAAACAATTTAATAAAAAAAACATGAAAATTTTTAAATAATAAATCTCTGTGACATTGTTGTTGCAAATATGCTTATTTAGCAGTAAAAAGAGAAATAAAAAATATTTGAAGTTTATTAAAAAATAAAGACACTAACGATTATTGCCGGTTATTCAAGCAAAGACGGAGTTGATGCTGTAAGCTTTACAGCGCTCTGCAACTCGTGATTATTGCCAAAAACAACAAACCGACAACAACGTCATAAGCAAGTAATTAAATGAATTAATTCAACATTTTGATTAAACATAAATAACAAACGAAATGTTCATTAATTTCATAATATTTACTTTAGGAAGCGGGCGTCTGCTTTGGCTGTATAGGTAGCAACATACGTACATATGTATTAATTAATTAATTAATATATTTATTGTAGGTAGATATGTATTGGAAGTATACGTTTTTTGATTAATATATTTGATTTAGTAACCAACCCATGCTCTCTTGCCAAGTAAAAATTCTAATATTCTTATCAGCGAAACAGTAATGAACTTATTAATATATGTACACATGTACCATATATTAAACTATAACAATATTTTGATTTTCGTTTACTTTTTTTTTTAAATTATTTTTACAAAAACTACTTTGCAGTTCACATCTTTCACATCAAATATTCTACAAGACATTTTCTCTCAAAAAAAATGCCAAAAATACAATTTTTTGAGTTACACATTATTAAAATTGTATTTATTTTAAAGAATGTCTTCAGAAAGGCATCGTCCTGAATTTTGTGTGTGTGTCAAATAAAAAAGTATCCCATACTAGCACTTGATTCCGATTGTTCAGTTTGTATAGCAGCTATATATTTTATAGTGGTCTGATATCGGCCGTTCCGACAAATGAGCAGTTTCTTGGTAAGAGAAGGCTGGGTGTAAAATTTCAGATCAATATCTCAGAAACTGAGGGACTAGTTCGCGTATATACAAACAGACGGACATGACAAAAT